ATTACGCGATTAAGTCATCCACTGACTCATGGAGACTTATTGAACTTATTCAATGAAAATTAACATTTTTTCTTCAAAACTTGAGGTGCTCAGTGAACCAAATTTTCTGATAGAATTTAGAAAAAAATTGAATTTGTAAGCAGATTGCTACGAATTTGTTTGATGCACTCTTGTTGATAAGGCTGACAGGACCAAATTACGTTGAAAAATCTGGTAAGTGCTGGTGAAATCAGTTTGCGCAGCAGGCAACGCAAACTTGCGGGCACCGTACCCGAGCAGAGGTAACCGAAGACACAGCGGCGGGGTATGGCCCATGGAAATGGGTCGCGTACGGCAAAGACGGTATACCCGGCAAAAATACAAATAATCGAGTGTACAAAGGCGCCACAGCTTTCCGGTGCACTAATCTACCCGCAGCTTATGTGGTTGCGGCGTTTGCGAGTGCGTACATAAACCATCGCGGTCTACGGGAAGGCTATGTGCTTGTAAGCTAGCGACGAGGGGTACGGATCCTAACCTAGCGTTGAGCTTTGTTTGACCCGTCCGAGGAAAAGGTCAACTAGCGACCGAGCAGACAGTCCTGCTGCCAGGGAACGGCCGCGTGACGCTGCACAGCACTGAAAAGCCCCCTCCGCAGATCCGGCTGGTGGACGGCACCGCCGGCAAAGTAATGCGTTTAGCTGAAATGACGGCGTGCTCATGAAACTTCACTGACGTGCTCTCTGAGCCCAAATCCGGCCGTTTAATGAATGGCAGTGCCAGGCAGCTCGGAACTTCAGCTTGGCTGTTCTTTTGGCCTGGATGTTGTAAAAGTGACCTTAAATTAATCATCCAACATATGTTCGGGTGATGTGATGCATACAGGCGCTTTACACTGGCGACGTGTTGATAATAACGACGGGGACTGCGCGGCTTACACCACTGGTTCTCGACTTTGCTGGTCTGGTGTTGCTGCACATCGCCGCTCTCACTGCTGCCTGGCCGATTTTTCGAGTTGGACCTGGATCTTGAAACGACGCGGTGAGTTCACTGACTGCCATATTCTTGGCATTTTTCTTACAAGAGGCACTCACTGGACTTTAGATCTGTCGTTTTCTAACCGCAGCTAGCCGAGCTATTAAGGCAAAACCGATAAAAAACCAAAACTTTCACCATGATCCCACATTTTATTGTGATAAAAGAAGATCTGCCCCGCAAGCTAACGAAATCCATTATAGTTTGAAGTTCAGAGTGCCAATTCAAGGTCAGCATGATATATCAGAGTGCAATGGTCTGTTAATGAAGCCGAGATGTCGTCGTTTCAGTCTCTGGCGGACTAGATGAGTTGGGTTGAATGACTGGTTCACAGGGAGATTAACATCTTTCAGTCAGTTGTGTCACTTGATAAACTTTCGGGGGAACGTTAGCCCCCCCCCCCCTCCTTCCTTCTGTTTTGAGCCTTTTCTCAAATGCATTCGAGCAAAAAGGGAACATTGGGGGGATGAAATACAAGCTTCTGAACTGCTGGCACAGTAGGCATACTTATTTTTAACCAGTTTGCCTGTTTTTGGTGAGCTTTGACCTGGCCAAGGTCAAAATCTTCTGAACGTGAAAGTTTTCACCATGGCACATCGGTTTCAGAGGCTTTTGTGTGGGTTGGTTCCAGAGTCTCGGAGCATGGGGTTGTCTGCAAACTGTTTTTCCAGTTCAGGTTATTTTTTATGGCTTTTGACCAGATCCAAGATCACGATACTTTAAAACAAATGGGTTAACGACCATGCTGCATGGAATGAAGGGTTGGTGGTGATCGGTTTTATAGGATCGGAGCACGGGTTTATCAACATCTTTTGTTCGTCGGTCATTCCCTCCTCTTCCGGAGCTCGGTGCCGCGCGGAAAACGTTTCTGGCCTTTGCGCGCCCTGTCAAGATGGGTGGAAATAGCGGCGCGAAAGCCAGGTCAGTGACACGACCACGGCTTCTGGGGTTTCGCGGTGTTTGACGATGTTTCACTGAGCTCGCTGGCTCTGCAGGAGTGCTCCATGGGAGAGGGGGGGGGGGGGGGGGGCGGCGGCCAAGGTCCATTCGCAAGACGATGCGAGTGGAGTCGGCTTCGGCCGGCAGCTCCAAGCCGCGGGTCCTGGCGGTTTTCAGTCGCGACACGTGACGGCTGTTCGACCTGTCTGTGGTCATGACAGTTTTTTCTACGACGAAACTCCAGTAAACTTCATCTACCCCTAAGCAATGACAAGCTTATGATGACTTTCATTGCGGTGATGAAGGGTGTACGATAATAACACCCACAAATCGTAGTGAGCCCGGCCATTTCCGCTAGATGTGTTAATGCCTTCCATAATGAGTCTACCCAATGCATGGTCTTCCGGTGTCGTTCCTGGGTTTCAGATTAGCTGATGCCTATGATGGTAGTGTGTTGGCATCACGGCCTGTTGGCTGAGATGTATGTATTTGGTAACATCTTACACAAGTGTTTAAGCACAGAACGGGACCGAGCGGGACCAGAGCGAGGCCGGCCAGGGCCATACTGGACCCGTCTGGATCCGCACGATCCCATGTAGCTTCCCCTGACCTGGTCCGCTTCTAGCCAATCCTGTCCAATGTCGTCCGGTTGCGCCCGGACCCGTCTGGTTTCGTCCGGTTGCGCCCGGACCCGTCCGGTTTTGTCCGGTTCCATTCAGGTCCGTTCAGTCCTGGTCAGTTTTAAAGGGGGTGTTCCACATTTGTATCGGTTTTTAACTGAAAAAGCCATCTTGAAAACCCTTCGGTGCAGTTCACAATCCTGCCCCTCTTAAAGGGAATGTTCCACAGTTGAAGATATTAAAGCAAGCATCAGACATCACGAATAAGCTCACTTATCACTTTAAGTATACTTTTAAGAGTAAAAGACTGCTCTAGACCACATATTTTCTATATTATGTAAATATGCTCCTCAATATGTTATATTTGATTACGTCACCGTACGTTACGCAACATTGATCGAGATCCAATTGACGGTCGTTTTGTATGGAATTAATGCTCAAGAACGCCAAATATGAACAATCCGGCAATTATATTTTCATTGGCCTTCATAGCTACATGGCTGATGGAATTGCAGGATTTGAATGACGTCACGGTTGCGTCATGAATGTCTGGGTGACCTTGAAACAATTTCCCCGAAATAGTGTGCACATCATCGCGGGCGTGTAGCGCAGAAACTAGGAGAGTTTAGGTCTTGGAAAAATAAGGCCGTGAAGTGCACCGAATGATCTTCCAGGTGGTCATTTCCGTTCAAAACCTTAAACAAATGTGAACCACTCCCTTTGTTTTAAATGACCTCTACCATGTTTTCATTACAATTAGTTCACAACCAATGGAGCAGACTTGCAAGAAAGGTAGAAACAAAGCAATTAATACCTTTCTATATCCCATCGTGTAAAACCCCCGCTTCTCATCTTCTTGTCACTCGGCCCTTGATCACAGGTGTAACAGCTTACATCGCACACCACGTTAAAAATGGTGGATATATTTTAATGGCTTGATATTTGTGGTGAATGCTGCTCGGAAAACCATGTAGAACAAACATCTAGCGTATGTAGAGATTGGTGAAGGTTGTCTATTACTGATGTGGATTTTCTACTCACTTCTTGGGTTTGGCAGCGGCACCGCCAGTGCATTTTAGTCGAGGGACGGTTTTTTCCAGGGAGCATGCTCCCAGGGGCGGATAGGGGCTTCCGAGCAGGGTCCTGTTGAGTGGGGCATCCAGGTATGTGTCCCCTTATTGATTTAGAACATGAATTAATATTCATGTAAACGAATGTTGACAATAAAAATAGAGCGAAGGGGAGTTCATCTATGTTAGACAGTGTAAACGTACAGTTTAATTGTGTAAATCTCACACTGGTCAGGTCGTAGACTTAGATGTGTTGTTAAACTTTCGGATGCATCACATAGGTAAGGGCGGTTCCAGAACCCGGATTGGGAGGAACCTCCGGCGAAATTTGGCAATCGTTTCAAGATGGCGATCTTGCCTGGAATCTTCACAATGCGCTGTGTTTACAGGAGTAAACAGCGAAATGATGCTTCAAGTAAATCAAACAGTTACCAGATGAGTACGCTATTGCATTATAATTATGGAGCTTTTATGCTGACATTAATCGACCTTTAATATACCAGGCACTGCTGGTTCAACAACTCCATCACGCAAACAGGTTATGTTGTGAACTTAAAAAAACATTTTGAAAAAAAACGCAAGATTTCCTTCTGACGTCGTTGAACCAGTATCTCTCGGTATATTGTAAGTAAGTTGTCTCCAACGTAAGAGCCCGAACAACGCAATGACAAACACAACAAGAAATCAGGATCTTCCTTGCTTTTAAGATCTTCAAAAGCCCCTTTCTGTCTTTTTTCTGGACTCCAGAAGTGCTGGGCACAGCGTAAAGCATTCATATCATCAGGTTCCTTACCACACTGCTCGTGGGGAAACGGAACCATTATGAAAAAAATGCTGCACATCTTAAAATATTAAAGCATCAGATATTATTGAATAAGCTGGCTTGTGACCACTGGCATGCTTTGAATTGAAAAGGGCTGCCGTAGACAAAAAAAAAACCCTTTGAGTAAATATGCTCCTCAATACGCCATTGTTTGATTGCGTCATGAAACGTTTGTATGACGTCAGAGATGCTGCCAAGCTGGCCGTGCGAAATTGCCACTCTAGCATTTACTTGTAGCATTCCCAATCACCGAGGGATGGCAGTGGCGGCGTTGAGCGTGTTCCTTAAGCAAATATCGTTACGGACTTGTTATGGGTGATGCTCTTGCATATTTTTCCGGGATTATAGCTTGTTTGCTTGTATTTACATCCTTAGTTATGGCCCTATTTTAATTTTTTTTATTCCAGGCTTATTTCCGTATCATCCAGTATCCATGTCCAACTTGCCGTGGGGGTTTTAAGAAGAGCAGTGCGGTGAGCTGCGCCGAACTATTTGCGAGATGGCTATTTCAGTTCGAAACCCCAAACAAATGTATTCAATATATTGTGTATTATGTATGTATTCAAAATGTATTCTATTCTATGTATTCAAAAACGCATGCATAACACATTTGCGCACACTTCACAAGTAGAGCTTCAACTCGCGTATCATGTCTGATCATGGATTTGTCTTCAGGATGGGCACCAGGCAGCGCCATTGCAGGGCTCATGAGGTTCTCTGAGAAAGACCGCATGGAGACATAAGCTCGGTCACGAACGTTGACAGCGGCCGCTCTGAACATTTGGCTACTTACATCTGGCAAGACGACGTGCTCGATGCCACAATGTTTCTCGGCTACATGTTTCATTAAGGCACGATGCAGTCTTGAGCTGAGTAAGGCCTTAATCACTATCCTATCGGGAACGGTAGCCGAGAGCGGCGGCATCGTATCCTTTGTTTTTCCTTTATCGCGAAAGACGTACAAAACAATGCCCTTCCCAATCATTCAATGTTTTTCCTAGTCTACCCAACCTTCCACTCACTACATTTTTGCATCCGCCATGTCAACAGTAGTGTCTGTGGATCACTGAAATCCCGGCAACAACATAGTGTGCAGCACCATGTTGCTTAAAATCGGCTCTAGTCTCTTCCAACGGTACTGCAACCAAGAGTCAGGATTCAGTTACACAGTACCAATCGTGTTCTTCGAGCAGCACTTTACTCGGGAGATCAATGTCAACTACACGGAGCACGAATGTCGGGCAACTAAAACGAGTATCAAATATCGAAAAAACGCGCAAGTAGACGTGAGTGAATACGAACAACTTTTGCATGCTTCCACGTGTTACAAAGGTGTGATAAAGACCACAAAATTGGCACAGTGGTGACCCATGTCACCGCATTCCCCAAGCAAACGCAGAAGCCGCTCGCGACTATTTTTACGTGGTCGGAAATCTTGCCTCAGGCACCGAAGCATGACATATGTGGCTCTCTTTGGCCGTACCTTAAAGCTACCCAAATGCCCGAACCTTGCTGGTCCTCAGGCATCAGCGGTGGGCGGCGAGGCTGCTGATGACGTTATCCAGCGTAACGGAGCGGATAGAAGAGGTTATGCGCTCGCGACACATCGGACACTTGGGGTCGTTTTCGCGGACATCCCGCAGGCATTCCTCGCAGAAGGTGTGCCCGCAGCCAAGCGTGGTGGCTCTCTGCAGCATGTCCAGACAGACCGGACACTGCAGCTCCTCGGCAATGCCGTTCATCTGGCCTCCACCGCTGCCCTGTCCTCCGCTGCTCGCCCGAGCTCTGGCCTCGACCTGACCTCCGCCGCCGGCAGCGCCACGCTGCTGCTGGCGCCGCGGTCCCCCGCCGGGATGGCGATCTCCACCACCCTGGAGACAAGTAGTGGAGCGTCAAGAGTGACCGTCACAGGGCCGGGACCTGCTCCATCACCCTGGAGACAAGTAGTGGAGCGTCAAGAGTGACCGTCACAGGGCCGGGACCTGCTCCACCACCCTGGAGACAAGTAGTGGAGCGTCAAGAGTGACCGTCACAGGGACGGGACCTGCTCCATCACCCTGGAGACAAGTAGTGGAGCGTCAAGAGTGAGCGTCACAGGGCCGGGACCTGCTCCACCACCCTGGAGACAAGTGGTGGAGCGTCAAGAGTGAGCGTCACAGGGCCGGGACCTGCTCCACCACCCTGGAGACAAGTAGTGGAGCGTCAAGAGCGACCGTCACAGGGCCGGGACCTGCTCCATCACCCTGGAGACAAGTAGTGGAGCGTCAAGAGTGACCGTCACAGGGCCGGGACCTGCTCCACCACCCTGGAGACAAGTAGTGGAGCGTCGAGAGCGACCGTCACAGGGCCGGGACCTGCCCCATCACCCTGGAGACAAGTAGTGGAGCGTCGAGAGTGACCGTCACAGGGACGGGACCTGCTCCATCACCCTGGAGACAAGTAGTGGAGCGTCAAGAGCGACCGTCACAGGGCCGGGACCTGCTCCACCACCCTGGAGACAAGTAGTGGAGCGTCGAGAGTGACCGTCACAGGGACGGGACCTGCTCCATCACCCTGGAGACAAGAAGTGGAGCGTCAAGAGCGACCGTCACAGGGCCGGGACCTGCTCCATCACCCTGGAGACAAGTAGTGGAGCGTCGAGAGTGACCGTCACAGGGACGGGACCTGCTCCATCACCCTGGAGACAAGTAGTGGAGCGTCAAGAGCGACCGTCACAGGGCCGGGACCTGCTCCACCACCCTGGAGACAAGTAGTGGAGCGTCGAGAGTGACCGTCACAGGGACGGGACCTGCTCCATCACCCTGGAGACAAGTAGTGGAGCGTCAAGAGCGACCGTCACAGGGCCGGGACCTGCTCCATCACCCTGGAGACAAGTAGTGGAGCGTCGAGAGTGACCGTCACAGGGACGGGACCTGCTCCATCACCCTGGAGACAAGTAGCGGAGCGTCAAGAGCGACCGTCACAGGGACGGGACCTGCTCCACCACCCTGGAGACAAGTAGTGGAGCGTCAAGAGTGACCGTCACAGGGCCGGGACCTGCTCCATCACCCTGGAGACAAGTAGTGGAGCGTCAAGGGTGACCGTCACAGGGCCGGGACCTGCTCCATCACCCTGGGCAACTCTGCTGACCGGTCCGGTTGGAGCATTACGAACATAGGGCATCATCAAACACCTTCGTGACGCTTTACGGTGTGCCATGCTGAACAATCGCAAGGGTGGAACTCCTACCACCATGTGTGGATAGGCTCCCATGTGCACACGAAATGATGTGCAAGAGTGGATCATCATCAGGACACAACCTCCTACAACATTAAGCGGACACGCATCACAGAGACCTGAGCGCCAGTTTGGGAATCGTCTCCGTCTCCGTCTCCGTCTCTCCGTCTCCGTCTCCCCTCCCTCCCCCCCCCCCCCCCCCTCTCTCTCTCTCTCTCTCTCTCTCTCTCTCTCTCTCTCTCTCTCTCTCTCTCTCTCTCTCTCTCTCTCTCTCTCCAACGTTAGAGTAGAAAAACGTTGTCTCCCGCTGGGCTTTTGATAACACTTTGACACCATTGTGACGATGTTGTACCTGACGTCGGCCAGAGCATTTCTCGCGAAGGAGGTCCAAAATCGCAGCATCACTCAATCTGGTCGCCTTATGACGACTCAGCACGTCATTATTGTGCGTGGTGTGAAGGTCGTGTCCATGCTTGCATGCAGGTCGGTTGCACCTTCCCGTTACAAACATTCTGCAAGAACGATCAAGGTCAGGGTCCTGAACGCCTTACAAACAACAGCTTTAGCGCAACACAACGAAGAAGGCCACTGCTTCAAAGCGAACTGAATGCCAGGGGCATGCAGCCAAGGTTGGCTGTCGCCCATTTAACGGGGTTTAAGAATCTGGCCTGAAAGTGAACGGCGGACAGGGAGATAGGGTAAGCTGACATAAGAGGCTATTGTGTTTTCGAGCGGGCTTCATAAAACTTCCTGCTTCTACTTTTGTGATATAGACCCAACGTTCGATGGCTAGCATGTGCAGTTGAAACCATGACATGTGTGTCGAACAGCATTTTACCTGCAAATATGCAGCCTGTTGCAAAGAGGCTCCTGGCATGGGTTCGGTGAACCGGCTTTGTAGCAAACGTCCAGATATTTGTGACGGATTTCATCCGGCATGCGGCCAGTTTCTTGAAAGGCAAGTCGCAGCATTTGAACAGCCGCCAGCTCCCGGCTGGTGTCAAGTCCAAACCTGTTGCACACCACCTGCAAAACACGGCTCGAGATGATTTCGCGCACCTTTCCTCATAAACTGATGTCACAGCAAACTGACGTCACTGAGTGTACTGGCAGCAACCCGGACGACAAAGAATATAAGCCGCAGACATCACACATGACGTCATGCCCCTAGCTTTTGTGCCTTTTGGTATGTGCAGTGACGACAAACGACAACGACAAACATCCTGTACCGCAACTCGCGGAATTTTTGCCGGACGCGTGGAATCTTTTCATCACTTAAACGAAGTGAGAAAGACATGGCGCAGCAAGCAAGTCGCTTTACACGCCCACAACGTACAATGGTTGACAAAGGTGTGTTGTACGTTTCAAGTACGATAGATCGTAGTTTAAGTTGCCAGAAACACGGGATTACATACGGACATAAATGCTACTGTTTTACATGCATTGCTACGCAAGTTACGGGAATGTAAAGAGAAAAAACGGCGCACTTCGAACACGCCCCTCAAAGACTGTAACGTGGCACCACGCAGAAAAGGTCTTTCCCGGTGCGCTGCTAACTCACTACTGTTGTCCTCGTGTTCCCGCTCGAGCATTCATGCTGTTGTATTTACGGCATGAGGCGTCAAGGGATGCTACCGTCAAGCCTGGCAATTTCCTCGCCGCACGCAAAAAATTGCGGCGAGAAAATTGCACGTGCGCCGCACTCGCCTCACCTGGTTATGCACTGTGGTCAGCGAGTGTCCGTTGCGACAGGCGTCGCCGAACTTGCAGATGTCCGCCAGGAAGAGATGGCAGAGGTGCAGTCGGCGGCAGTTGGCGTCCACGCAGCCCTCGCGCGAGCCGTGGCGGGAGCAGAGCTCGGGCAGGCGGGGGGCCCGTGGGGCGGGCGGGGCTGGACGGGCGGGAGGGACGGACGGAGCGGGCGGGTTAAACGTGATGTGAGGCGTGACCCGGCGGCCCACAGTTGTTGCCTCCTGGATCACCGCCTGTCGCTCTCTGGCGGCGTTCAACGTATCCATCTGTTCAGCCCAGCGTTCCACGTGCGCTGCTGGCCCTTGCTGACTGCGATGATCTAGGCTTCCAGTGTCGCTGTTGGGCACCTCCCACTGGGTTGCGGTGCTGGCTTTGTTCCCCATGGCAGCCTGAAGTTGAAGATGACCTAAAACGAGGCAGGCGTGACCACCTTCCCGAGCAGACCGGTGCGGTGCTGGCAGTCTGTCCTTGTCCGTGGCACGCGCGTCAGTTGTCGTGCACTTGACGAACGTTGAGAGTCGGAAGACACGTGTGCACTGGGTCCAAGAAAACACCACAATTACTGTCTGTGGTCATCCAGAATTGAAATAATCGCAGACTCTGTGTAGCTCACATAATGAGAAGGCAAAGTCAGCAAGGCACGAGTATTGGAAACGGCCTCCGTAGAACGCGTTCCCGTCAAAATGCTCTTTGAAGGGAGTGTTCCGCATTTATATGGGATTTTGAACTGAAAGTTCAAAGTCCCATATAAGTCCAAAGTCCCAAGTCGTTCCCTGAATACCTGTCAGTGCTGTTTACAACCCTGCCCCTCTATTTTCTGAGCTGCACGACCGCGAAAATGGGGAAAGTGATACCGCGGAGAGTATTTCAAAATCATCTTGACATTCGTGTCGTCATAATAACGTCATTCAAATCCTGCCATTCGATAATCAATGCAATGATCAAGGCCAAATAATAAAATTATCGGAGCGTTTATACCTGGCGTTTGTGAGCACAATTTCCAGATATAACGGTGGTCAATTGGCTCTCAATCAATGTTGTGCAAGGTATGATGACGAAGTCAAACCATGGCGCATTACGGGACATATTAACTCAACAAAGAACTGTGCTGTCTAGAAGTCTTTTCCACCTAAAAGAGCATCAATAGTTGCAAGTGAACCTGTTCTATTACGTCTGATGTTTGCTTCGTTATCTTCAAATGTGAAACATTCCCTTTAAACAACCAGCAGTCATTAGAACAGCTTACGTAAAACGTTTGAAACTTTCTTGAAGAAAAATAAGCAATGTTCTGAAACATTTTTGCCGTTAGTCTCCAATTTTCAGTGAGGTGTTTGCTTTAAACTGTCCACTTGGTGTAAGTTGGGCTACTGGTGTGTCATGTCTAGGATGTGTCTTCTGTAACTAGTCCTCTTCCAGTACAAATAAAAATATGTTTGCGTCACAACTGTTGTGCTTGATAACACACCCTGGTTCTGCGAATATTTCAAAACTTAAAGGGTGTGTTCTACTTTTGTATAAGACTTGAAGCTTAATAGCTATCTTGATGATCATCCAGTGCAGTTCACAGCCCGCCCTTCTTAAAACCTAAACTACTCTAGTTTCAGAGCTACACGTCCGCGAAGATGTGCAGACTAATTCGGGGAGACTATTTCGAATTCAACCAGACATTCATGACGCCATAATAACGCCATTCACATCCTGCCTCCCCTATATCCATGTGGCGATGAAGGCCAAGAGATATATCATTGTCAAGTCATTCATATCCGGCGTTAGTGAGCACGATTTCCAGGTATGGCGGCCGTGAATTGGTTCTCAACCAATGTCGTGCCAGTACGATGACGTAATCAAGCAATGAAGCATTGCTTGGCATAGTTACTAAGCAGACATATTGTGTTGTCTTAATTAGTCTTTTCCATTAAAAAGTGTACCAATAGTTATAAATGACCTGATTTCATCATATCAGATGCTTGCATCGCTGCCTTCAAATGTGACACATTCTTTTCAAAGAATGGCAACAAATGCATTATTTCGCCCCCTTAAATTTTTACCTGCGAAAACCTGTCACATCCGGTCCAAAACCTCGCTAAAAGCCCGCGGCTTCCTGAGGGTCAAAAATTGGCGGGTTGGAGGGCTGACAACATTTTTCTCTTGTTTTATACTTCTATCGACCAACAACAGAGATCTAGGATATTCGTGGTCCCGTCCCTGCCCGTTTTCAGCAAATGTGCTCTGCGCCGCGTTCCCCATTGGCAAAGTATCTACATGAGTCACTACCTATGACGTCACAAGGACTACGTCACGCGTAAGCGACTATCTTCCAAGTGGATTGAGCAGTTGCAACGCACTTGTCTCTGATGTTGTAGGTTGTAGCTTGCGGATTACTGTTGGTAATGGGGAATGTGGCCCTGGCGGATTCGAGGCCCCTTGCCGACATGGCATCCTCTGTCCGGTAGTGATGGAACCAGACCGCGACAGGGAACCCTTTTGTTTCCAGAGCCCGACAAATGCAAGACGTCTTCTAAATTGCATGCCTGGACATCGGCCTTGTCCCCGTCCAAAGAATGAGTCCCCATACCGACAAGAAGCGGAATGCTTTATATTAGTGACCTCTGACCGACATTGACGACAGCGAGTTAGATAAACAAGCAAACGAATGGTGGCATCCATGTCGGTCAGAGACCACTTCTACTCAATATTCCGTGCCTTGTCGATATTGTAACACATTATTCACGCAAGGAAAGAGACAGGCACGACTCTAAAGCCCCTCCCCCCTCACACTTTTGGCAACACTTCTTCAGCTTTGCATCTTTTCTTTAAAAAAACAAACGCTGAAAATGACGCACCGAATGGTTTAAATGACATCTTCGTGAGCTTCAAACTATGCAGTCCCACCCCAACTATCCTGGCGGGGCGGCCAGCTGCACTCACCTTCCCACACGCCTCCTCACGCTGCGTCACAAATCAGGTCGGCCAGCGGATGCGTCGTTCTCCTCACACCGGGCACCTCAGACCCACCCCATCCACCGCTCGGCCGCGACTGATGCGCCAACAGCGGCCGACGGCGATCGGCGGGCGGCGGTATGTGCAGTCGCACGGGCAGCTCATGGCACGAGCACAGTCAGCTGACGTCGAGATTAACATGGCGGCGGCCCTGCGCCCGTCATCTGCGCGGCCCGGGAATCCCCGCCCAGGTGCTGTCAACGTCGCCTCGCGTGTCCCGTCAGTGTTAGTGCTACCTCGCGCTGAGCCATATTTTTCGGGCTGTGACTCAGGGCGGCTGTGACGCGGCTACAAAGCGGAAAGTGGCACGGGTCTCATACCGAGAGACGCTGCCACTAGGGGACCGCCGCAGACTGTGCCCCACTTGCCCCATCGACGTATCAGGGATGACGAGGGCTTGCAGGTGACCAGTGGAACCGAGCGGTTTTTGCGGCTTTCAAGGTCGGAGCTGGAAACCTTCAGACTCATGCGTAACTTATTGGGCTGGCTGACCATGACTGTTTCTTTGGCCTCGCGGGCTCTCGGTTTACGTGCTGGGCGGAAAGATGCTGCGGGGCAGACACCAGACAGCGACGAAGGACGCCTTTTGCAATACCACGCCGAGGCGATACCACGCCTTTTGGGCGTGGTATCTTATCACGACAATATGATGTGGTTGTCGATGGGCGCATGCAGCCTGACAGCCAAATACTTTGGTGGGCCCTGGCTAGAGTGGAGCGTAACAAAAGAGGCGAAAAGGAAAAATACGAACATCTCGTAATCTTGAATGGCCTGCAGCTGCCGTAGTGCCCTTGCCAGAACGCTGGCCGAGATTCTTACCAATTTTAGTGGTCTTGGGTTTGCAATTCAGCACTTTTCTTCGAACAATATGTCCCTCTCATGCCTGAAAGTCGACAGATCTTTACATCGACGGCTCATCTGAGCCTAATACATCGCAGCACTGAAAATTTTAGTCGAGCTTTATCAGAGGATCTTCGAAGCTGCTACAACTTGATTACACTATTTGCAACAGTTTCAAGATACTCTTAAATAGCGAATGTCATAACATGGCCCATTGGCTGGCAACTGACGGTGGAATGAGCAGCAGCAATGCAAAGATGGACTAATGAGCAGGAAGTCGTTTAGAGGACCACACCTGAGGTAGCAGTCCATATCCGTGCAGTAGCGTAATGACAACGACTATATCATTGCTCTGGTCTAGGGCTGACCCAAGGAAGGAACCTCACCTAGGGTAACGGTCCACGTCGGTGCAGTAGCGGGATGACAATAAGTGTATCATTGCTCATATTATTCTAGGGCTGGTCCAATGTAGGAGATTTGAACTAGGGTAGTGGTCCATATCGGTGCAGAAGCGAAGTGACAACAGGTGTATCATTGCTCTATCCTAGGGCAGGCTCAAAGAGGAGACTTCAGCTAGGGTAGTGGTCCATATCGGTGCAGAAGCGAAGTGATAACAGGTGCATCATTGC